CCCCAGAGAGAAAATATACAAGGATCATGTGACGGGTTAGTTGGTTATACATTACGAAATTAAAAGTAGCGCTAAAGACGAAAACAAGTAGAAGACACAGACACAGACACAGACAGCGCCTGTCCGTGTCTGTGTCTTCTACTTGTCCTCGTCTTTAGCGCTACTTTTAATTTCGTAATTCCCCAGAGAGAGGTGTCTATGGCTTTGCTGACCCTAAGAAAGGTTGCACAAACATCCGTTCGTGTGACCGGAGGAGCAGCGCCATAGATGCGTTGTTATTAGTCACGACCGCTCTCTACTGCTCACTGGCAGGAGCGCCATGAATCGGGAGTCACTGAAAAGAACTCTTGCGGCCAGCTTATTGGGCCTGTTGAAAAAAGATGACTATACTGAGTACCAGCTGGTCATTTTGGGCTGCTGCGTAGCCTCTAGTTATAGCTTTTGAGGTGGTGAAAATGAATCATTTCCCCGGCCGTGCCAAGATTAGATAGATATGACTTTCCCTAATGACAACCCCCTTCGATGCAGTGGGTGAGGTGCGGTAATTTTAATCACAGTTTGTCCTGGAACGAGATTGGTGACCTTAAGCGACGATCACTGTGCTTATAAGTTACACTAGCTGTACATTATATTGTTGGGTGTTGCTCTTTTGACTATACACTTGCATCAACTTTGTGACGGCTGTGACACCTGTCCCCAACTAAATTTTAAGGTTGGTGTTTTGTAACAGATTATATTTGCACTGAGTATTCCAACAGTCCGGTTATAATGCTATAATTTTGTGACCTGCCGTGAACTTGAGATGTCAATAAGTGTTCAGTGTCTCTCAAACTCATAATAACCTGTATATCCCACTGTTCGGAACTCAATGGCCAGCTTTCTGAGACACGCTGTTTTAGTTCCCGATTCTCACGACACGTGGCGTACCGACCTTGAGCAAGATAAAGCCCCTCGATCTGTTTACGTTTTTTTCGCAAGTAGCGTCAAATGCACCAGCGCACGAGGCCCGTGTCTCAAGCGGCCCTTGGAAGCAAATGGCGCGCAGCACTGAAATGAGCGGCCACTAGAAGGGAACGGCTGCGGCGCACCCGCTCGTGGCACGTGTCTTTTGCTTTTGCACAACAATGGTGGGCGCTACTTGCCAACGTGAGTTTTATCGATGGACTTTAGAGCAAGATAGAGTGCCTTCATACACACGCGCGCTTTCGCTTGAGTTGTGACATCTCAGCCATTTTCCCGCCTCATCGTTCTTTACGCATTTTAAAGCGTTCGCAATTTGGTGTCACTCAGCTCGAGCGCGTAACTTTGGCTACTTTTGCTAATGCATACACGCCATTTTACCGGCCAAGTCACGCACCATGTGCGCGAGAGCGTCACACGCTGGCACATTCAGGGCAACAATGGATGTCTTCACCCTCAGAAAGACAGACATGTAGGCACCCTAGAGCAAGATAAATGAAGAATTCGAAGCGCCCGACCGCCTTATCTGAACCTCCTCTCCTGTGCATCTCTCCGGCCTCCCACCCTTTTCACCGTTTGCGTCTGGCCAAATACTTTACAAGGGGGAATACATTCCACTCCGCTTATTTGCGTGACTTACCAAAATAGTGTACTCTTGTCTTTCGTGAGTTGTAGTCTTCAAAAACGTGCCTTTATATGCATTACCTAGTGTTCTATTGTGTGTACTGTTGCACTCCTGTAACAGCCCCTCCGGGCTAACAGTATAAATAAACAAATACATATTAATATTAAAAAAATTGTATTAGACAGAACGCCTACAGCGCCGAATCCAGCCCTGACGGAAGGAAAGGTCCGCACCGAGTCCTTTTTTTTTTTTTTTTTTTTTTTTGCAGATAAGCTATCATTATCATCAGTCGCGGACATTTCACGACTGCGCGCTATGCTACGCCGGCGGTCGGTGCGCCAGTGCAAGCCAGTGTCTCAAGGTGTGAAAAAACGTCAAATGTGTTGAGTGGTGCTTTCGTTTGATACTTTTTCGAAAAGATGCACACGATATACCCCGAGTTTCAGCAAACATTAGTTTAGCTTAAGTTTCTGAATTTGGCTTTTAGAAACAAAACATCTCTCCAATTATGTGTATTTTGCCGTTTTGAGTTCACGAGACATACTGTTATTTTTTGTATTGCGTATGTTATTTCAGTGATGTGCGATGGGGGGGTGTAGTTTTGGAATTTGTATCCTCTAAACGAGGAAACACTATTGTTCTTTGTTTTAATGCGCTACCGGCTGTTGGTCAGCAAAGCATTTTGTCTTCAGTCCTCAGTTTTTAGTCTTTAGTTATTTGGCTCTGGAGAGCCGCGGCACCGCGGAAAGTCAGCAGCCCGTACCAAGGGAACCCCCGGTGCCGCGTTTAAGGGGTATTCACACGCGGGAGAAATCCCGGGGATTTCTCCAGGGCACGCGCGCATCACGAGATGAAAACGCGAGGCTTTTGCACATCGCAAAGCCTGACGTTTTCGTCGTGGGATGCGCGTGCCGGGGAGAAATCCCCGGGATTTCTCCCTCGTGTGACTACCCCTTTAGGGAACATGATAATGTGAGGAGGATATACATGCATGATGACGACGACATGGATTGTGGGTATTGGGAAGGAAGGCAGTCCGATCGCAGAAGTCCAGATTTCGTGGAGGTGGGTCGGGCGAGTCAGCAGCGAGCCATGGAGATCTGGCATGCCGTTCGATCGGTAAATGAAGGAGCCCCAGGAACACGATGGCGCTGTTGCGCACTGGGGTCCACTGGGGTCAAAGCATCAGGCTCCAAGGAGGTAGCCCAGTCAAAGTAGAAGCTGCCGCCTCCGAGGAACCAGGGCTCAGATTGAGGCATCGCCGTCTCCCGGTATGTCATCCTCTCAACGTCGTCGTCGTTGTGTTCTTTATTTATACGCGTATGTATGTATCAATAAAATAAGATAGATAAAAAGACACACAATCGAACGGCCAGTGGCGTGCCGTTCTAGTTATATTTCTAGTTATTTCCAGTTATACATGACTGAAAGAATTTTGTTCAGTTTGTGTCTGTAACCGAGCTAAAACTTTACGTACACAGGCAAATTCAAAGCAAAATATATACAATGCAAGTGTTTCTGACCCTACATAACAAATACTTCTACTTGAAATCCAGGGCACAAATTTTGATTGTAAACATCTAATTATTATGTAGTCATATTATAACCGCCACATTCCTATACTCCGCGACAACTTTTCTTGGCAATACAGTGGAAGGTAGAGGCCCGCGTTCCCTCTCCCATTTTGAGTGTACGCAGGCTCTCTTTCTCTCCCCATTTCCGGGGAGAGAAGGAGAGCCCGCGCACACTCAAAGTGGGAGAGGGGACGCGGGCCTCTACCTTCCACTGTATTGCCAAGAAAAGTTGTCGCGGAGTATAGTCAATATGCTGTCACACACGCATCGTACAATTTTTTTTTTTCTTCTTTCTACAAGTCCATGTAAAGGTAGCTTGGCCGCAAGCTTCTTGATGTACGGCGGAGTGCTAACTTTACAGGGGCAAAAAGCGGGCCGAATTTGAAAGTCTCAAGGAATAAAAATTATTAATTAAAACACCGAAATTTTAACTGCGGTGTGTGCTATGAGTCGGCAGCTATTATATTCCTCGGGAACGTTACGATTCTGCCTTTCAGTGAGAAGAAATTTAAAAGTTTGTCAAAGTGGCCCATAGGACCCAATGCAACAATATTATATCGGGCCCAGGAATAAAAAGTATACAATCCTGAGGTTCAAGTAGGTATTAAACAAGAGTGCATTAGTGCCCTCTATAGATATCCCGGGGAACTTAAGGATTTCTGAGGTAGTTCGACTGAAATTATTCTTTTAGTGCGTTTTGCTGAGAATAGCCAAGGGAAGGCGCAAGGAGACCGTGTCTAGGAATGCTGAGGATGCGGCATACTGAACACCACTTTTGTTTTTTCCATAGCAACAGAGTTCTAGGTGCTGTCCATTGATTTTCTACAAGCTATAGGTCTATCGCAAGACAGAAAACCGGAGAATGACCGCAAGCCCCGCTTTTGCGTATCTGTTTGTATCACGAAGGACCGTGCGGGAAATTTGATTGTATAAAAGTGTAAGCGTGAGCTAAACAGTTTCAAAGTAGCGATCGTGCAAGAATTTGAAGGCAGCGATGTCACACTCACGAATTATAATAACTTACTTTCAGAGTTGCCTAAAGTTATATATGGGTGCCCTAAAATACTATCGCCTACTTTCATACAGCCGATCTTCAAATTAAGAAAATTGCCTATTGATATATCGTTCTTGGGACCTGAGAAACAACAATTAAAATTCTAGGCCTGTATGCGGTTTCAGTTTTGGTGTTCAAGATTACTGGACATCATTGATACTGTCTGAAATCTTTGACGTATTTAAAAAAATGAATTTTGGGAGAAGTTCCAACCTGCTTTCTAAGGACTTTTCGTGTGCACTGATGCGTGATAAAAATTTAAACCGAAATAAATACATCGAGAAAGAACAACATCCCCGGCTATAAAAGACAATTATCCCGAAGTGCGCCACTTCGTGTTGGAAGTTCGACAGCCTCGACCCTAATTTTTTACTCGCTCCGTCCAGGAGTCAGAATACCGTGTCCTCCACCGCTTGTAATGCGGGCTGTTCGACTCCTAGATTGCTCTTTTTCCGTTCCCTACTTCCGTCCGAACTTCCTCCCCGGCTCTCCAGTCTTCACAAAGCGATAAACCATAGCTCCTCTCCCGCCGCGTTCCCACTACGACAACACAGAACCTCACGAACTGGCAACACAACGGACGAGGCAAGCTTCCATCACGTTCATCCCGTTTTCTTGCCTTTCTCGCAAACTTCGCCCCCTTCCCCGCCCATTCTCGCCGCAACCTCTAATCAAACACCTCGCTCTCCCAACAAGCAACCTTGCCCATTCCCTGGATGATGACGTCAGGCCCACGTGACCGGACCGCTCTCTCCCCAAAAACGGGCGCTGCTGCTTCGGCGCGGCCAGCGTCGGACCAGCGCAGCCGGCGTTTGGGACGCCGACAGAGCGCACCGCCTCTGCGAGCGCTCTCGTCCGACCTCGGGATCCGAGTTGACACGCGCTCTCTCGGGATGGGGCGCGTGCTCCGTTCGCTCGGGACGGCAGAGGCAGCAGCAGCGGCTCCGGTCGCGCGCTCGGGGCCGACGACGGGTTCGTTGTGAAGGGCCCGGTGCGGCACGGGACCGACGACGACATGGCAGCGACGGTGAGCCTCGAGACGCTCTTCCTCCAGCTGCTGGGCCGGCTGGAGTCGACCGGGCGCTGCCCCGTGGCCTCCGGGACGGTCTTGTCCCCGTCGGCTGCCAAGCAGCGTCGCTCGCTGCGGGTCGAGATCCGGACGCTGGAGCTGTGGCGCGCCGTGATCGGCGAGTGCCTGGCCACCTTCTTCTACGTGTTTCTGGTGTGCGGCGCTCACGTGTCGTGGCCGGGATACGCGGAACCGTCGGTGCTGGGCATCGCGCTCACGGCGGGCGCGGCGGCGGCCACGCTGTGCCAGTGCTACGGCCACATCTCGGGCTGCCACATGAACCCGGCCGTGACGCTGGCCACATTCGCGACGCGCAAAGTGAGCCCGCTCAGGGCGCTCCTCTACGTGACGGCGCAGTGTGGAGGCGCCATCGCGGGAGCTGCGCTTCTCTACGGGTGAGTGCCACACGGCGAGTTGAAAGGCTGTCTGAACACCCTCGAAAGCATGGAGGTAGGAAGCTTCTGGCGGCGACAACACACCACCAGACGTGAAGCCGAGGGAGTGGATGGACACGCCTCCAACGATGACCAAAACCAATAGTCGCTGTTGGACGAAAAGGAGAGCCGACTTGGCGCGAACCGCTGTATTTTGGTCACCCTCACCCGAGGGTGACCAAAATAAAATTAAAAAAAAGCTTTTGGCGTTAAGTCGGTTCTCCTTTTCGTCCAATAGCGTCTCTTGTTTTTGGTGATAGTTGGGGACGTGTCCCTCCACACTACTTCTGACTTCACTTATGGTTGCGTCTTGTCTCCAGAAGCGTCCTACCTCCACGCTTTCAAGCCACACTGCTAACTCATTGTACAAAAGACAACCCGCAGACACTGTCCCGGGCGTGTTTCCTTGGTTACACTGATCCTACAGAAACCGTGGCAAACATGTTGGAAGCGTGCATGAAGCCAACATGATTCTAAGATGCTTCAGGCCCGTCCGCAGACAATTCTGCCATCGTGTCTGCAGGAACCGCATTTCTTTCGAATGATGTGGGAGCAGTCTGACGGCGTCTGTACTGTTCTCCCCTTCGTATGTGTGAACGCGCGTTTGTACTTATTCCTCCTATTTGTGGCTTGCACTGACGTCAGACCGGTCGGCGGCCATTGTGGTAACCGCGTGCGAGTACATTTCGCAGCACCGAGTTTGTTTTCTTCGGCGAGAACGAGTAGAAATGGACATCAGCACAATGCGATAACGTCACGTGCGAGCTACGCTTGAGTCATGTGGCCACCGGGATATCCGCAGTGTTGCTATTTTACATTCGGGCAAGATCTAACATCACGAACTACTGCGGGGAACGAAACACATTCGAGGGGGTTGACGCCCGCGCGCGTAACCTTTGCAATGGTTCAATCGAACATGACACGTTGCGAAGTGTCCCTCTTCGCCCGGAAGTGTCCCCGCTCCTACGCTGAATTCCAATATAAAATTTACCTCGCATAGCAAATGCCGTTTTTTTTTCCACCGCAAGGTTACCAAGTTACGCGTATGGCCACATTATTCAGTATTATCAACAATTTAAAAAAAAAAAAAATGTGTTGTACCCGAAACAGTTGGCATGACTTAAAAGAACGCACGTGCAAGTTGGAAAAAGAAAATTGACTAACCAATAGTTATGATCAAAACGCTTTTTTTTTTTCGCAAGGGAGAAGAATTGATAAGAGTCGAACAGCTCCAAAATGTTTCCTTTTTTCTCTTCAATGGGCCAAACATGCAAACCTCAATGGTGCGTTTACGGGCTCCGATAATGAAAATTTCCTCAATGTTTCGTCGTTAGTGATAACGCTGCATCCAGTTCACGTTATGGCATATCGACAAGCTGCCCGAGACGCCTGAGAAGCGATAAATTATCGGCAGCCGCAACCAAAAGCCGAAAAATAAAGGAGAGTAATCGGTCCACGTCTTGGGTTTCTTCCTGCTTCGTCAATCGGGTTTTCTTCTAGTTAAAATTATCAAAAAAAAAAAAAAAAAATACACTGTATAGACGTAAAGATGAAAAAAAAATAAAACGAGACTCGGAGACAGTGAAAACAGCGCGCGGGACGCTGTATCAGTCCTCGCGACGGAATGTTCTTGAGCGAAAGTTGGCGCCCAACCGGGGGAGGGAGAGTGCGATTTGTCTTCGCGGCGATATCTGAGCGCGCGTGGGTTGTTCCTGTTCGCGGGACGGCGGCTTTTAAGCAGACTGAGTGGCCAACGCCGGGTGTCAGATAAAGAGATATAACTGCTTGATTGACAACCGCAGCAGCGCAAATAGGGGTGCGGTGTTTGACGACGTTTTGAACTTGGGAATCTGTTTTTCCGCTGGTCGACTAGTATCTGCGTTCGGATTTTGTTCCGACTTCGTTTTGAAGTGTTCGCGAAGCTTTCCCAGCGTCTAGAGCGCAAGTCGGAAAAAAAAAAAGAAAAAGAAGATATGAACGACATAGCCGCGTTTAAAAATGTACTGGCCCCTTTCTGAAAGTTGCATGATTAGGATAGGAATCTCATTAAATTTCTGAGCTTCTAAGAAAAATACGTTTTTTTTTCTATTTTAGGCAATAATGTTGATTAGGAATTCTACGACTAGAACGATTAACTTTCTGGAGTGTGACCAAGGCATAAAGGTGGGTAGTTAGTGCATATAGTTCCACAGTGAAACGGCGCTAAAAATCGACGACCTTAGGATAACGTACACGGACACAAGGCTCTATGAGTGGCATTTCGTGTTTTCTTTTAATATACGTCCATGTCTTTGCTGTTAGCATGGTTGTATCCCGCCCTGAAATACTTTTTTAGAGTACTTTTTTCAGGGTCCTTAGAATAATTATTGGTGAACAAAATCCGAACGCTATATCCCCGAGTCCCCAAGCGACAAACAGAAACGGCCGACGCCACCAAGCTTCAAACGCGTGCAGCGTGCACGCAAAGGAGCATTTTTCAGGCTTGCAGTGTGTCGGTGCTCGAAAAGTAAGCACAGAGGGGCATTTATTTTAAAGGGTGCCGGTGGACTCATTCGGTTTGCCTGCACCGGAGCAGAAAAGTGTAGCCCGGTGCAGGGAAGTGCAGGGCATCCAGATAGGCTGCATTCGTAAATCGAATACAGCAGTCCCTACCGGACGCAGCTGGTGCACAAAGTGGAGGTAAATCAAATGAGCTCATTGCCTCACGGCGAGTACTCGAGAATCATGGTGGATTCTCGAGTACTCGCTTTCCTTATGCTCCCATAAGTTAACCTTTGCCATAGCTGCGATCATTCTGTACTTATAACCCGAAGCGAGTACTCTAGGGAAAGATAATTTCAATTAATATGTTCAATAAACACATCAGAACATGTAAGATAAGGTGGCCCACACCTCTAACAACATATAGGGAGTATTCACTGGACGCCATATTTGTGGGTGCTGTTTAGAGCGCATGCTCAGAACGAGCTCATATCAATAGGCTGCTAAGACCGGCACTCTTGATGGTGCGGAATGCACGTTGCAAAAGAACTGTGGAAGCTCGCCGTCAGCGCGCGCTCAGCATTCGCGCACACAGCTATGGCCGCCAGTGAATACTCCCTATAAGAACATATAAAAGGGCATGTACTTTTTATAACATTCATATACGTTCTCATATGCTTATTGAACAAATCATATATGAATGTTGCCTTGTTTTCAATAGGGCAGTCTCGTAATCACGATCAGGCCGCTTTGAGTAATCACGTAGCTTGGACAACGCGTGCTGAAACAATTTGCTCGTACATCGCTCTTTTCCGGCTTCAGGTGGAGACGTTACCGGCAAGAATTCTGTTCTCAGAGTCAGCGAACGGGAAGATTACACGTTGCAAGGTGTTTAAAATTCAGTTCGATGGCGAGCCGTGAGGCTATTGACGTCGCTACGGCTCGAATGATTTCCCCGGAGACTTCGACGTTTCTTTTTTTTTTTTTTAAGCAGTTGATATAGGGCCCCGTCCTTGCCAGAAGGCCCTCAAAAATATTGCTCCGTTCATCCCGTAAGCTGAGAGTGCTGGCAATGCAGTGGAAGCTACGCGCTCGCCGGGCCAATCAACCGCCTTCCTTTTGTCATCTGACCTCACTCTCTGAGCGTGGGTACGGGCGGGAGCGTGATCACGTGGTGAAGGTGTACGTGTGTGACTGATCCAAGAAGCGCGTAGCTTCCACCGCACTGTTAGCTTAGGGGTGGGCGGAGTGTAGAATGTTGGCGACTTTTGCTTTAAAACTTTAGCGCCCCTTATTTCTCAGTCCATTTCTTCGCTCACTTTCACCCTGTTCGTGTGTTGTTTATCAGTGTCACGAACTTCGAAATGTCAGAAGCTGCACTCCAAAATCTTTTGGCTCCAACGATTACCGACGTTCTCTTGCGTGCTATAACTTTTGTTTGGCCTTTTTTCTTTATTTATTTATTTATTTTTTTGAGCAGCATTGTGCATCCTCAATCACTCGACAGCGGAAAGGATATCGAGTAGAAGACGTACGAAGTTTCTCTTCTTCTTCGGGGATAGTTTGGAGACGTTGATAGCCACTAGAAATATCTGATTTTAAGCCCCAGAAACACACTGGGAACACCTGCGCACGTCTATTGGTACGTTCTAACAGCCTTAGAATAAAGAAAAAAGTAAAACAATATATCATTGTCACATTTTGCTGCGATTCACGGTCGTTTATTTAAAAGATTTAAGGAAAAAACATAATCTTCCTGGTAATCCAGGACTGTGTGATTGCTACCATTTCATTATGTGAAGCTGAGGTTTGGTCACTGTTTTTTCATTACAAATTTTGTTTACCAAAAAAAACGAGTCCGGTTTCAAAATATGTTAGAAAACACACGCTGGTACCAACACTCAAAACTAGCGGCATTCGGGTAGCTGGGGAAAATGTTAAGACGCAGAATATCGCGGGATCCATTCCAAAGGGCTTAATTGGGACACATTTTCTTCTAAATATTTTCCACACACACACACACACACACACACAGAGAAAACACGCCTTGTTTACGTTAGACGCAATTTAGGTGGAGGTAGCCCGCCCTTGGCTCCGCCCTAGAATTTGATTAACTACGCTCCATTTGTCGGCTCAGTGGTTGGAGAGAAGATTAACGTGTAACATTGCTTCTCCGCACCCTAATAGTATTTTTATCGACAACTATATATATATATATGTTTGAGAAACAAATAATTTAGATGAGTCATCATTGTCTACAAAAGTATCCTAAGATCGCCATTTTCCTCATTGGTGTGAAACGATAACAAACATAGCTACCGGAGTTTGCAGAGTACTCAACGAGGGCAGCTCGTCTATTTTTATGAGTGCGAGTCGTTCTGCGTTTACCGTGTTGCGTGTAACGTCCGCTTGGCAGCGGACGCTTACACGCAACAAACGAAATCTCCTCTCTCCTCGGCATTAAGGCTGAACCGTACGTA